ACTGGAGCTGGTGGGTTTGAACCCAGCCTGGGCCTGCCCAACAATGACAACTACCTACAACGAAAAAATAGCTGGGCATTGTGGCGGGCACTTGTAGTCACAGCTACTTGGGAAGTTGAGGCAAGAGAATTGCTTAAGCCTAAGAGTTGGAGGTTGCTGTGAGCTGTGATGTCATAGAACTCTATAGAGAGCAACATAGTAAGACTCTGCCTCAAAAAAAAAAAAAGTGAAGATGGGGACACAGGTTCTCTTGAAGGTTTGGAGATATTTTTGATAAGAGAGACCCTAGGGTCTATACCTGCTTTGCTTAGTCAACAGTTCCCGCTCTATATGGGATTAAGACTCATAGAGATAAGGCATGTGGAAAGACCTGTGCCAGGCACACAATAAAGCTCATTATTTGTCATTATCCTTCTCCTAAAAAGAATTGAGCCCAGTAGGTCATTCTTGCCTCAATTAACCAAAACAAAATGTCTTGGGATGCTAAAGCTTTTCCCTATGGCACAGCTGGTAATTTCAGAGAGAAAATTCTCCTAATTTGTCACATATACCTCATAAATAAAGCCCTCTAATATGAGCCTTCTAATATAGGGCAATCTTGGTATCTGTATTTCCTTAAGAGAGTAAATGTTTATCTCAAAGGCCTAGGATGAATTCAGACCCAGTTTCTACTTATGTTCCTTCAGGGAATTTGATACCTTTTCCTTGATTCATCTTTGCTAATGGAACCATACTTTAGGTAGGAACATTTGCAAATAAGCCTATATTAGCCGGGCATGGTGGCATGTGCCTATTGTCCCAGCTACTTGGGAGACTGAGGCAAGGGGATCCCTTAAGGCCTCTCTGGGCCAGCCTGGGCAATATAGTGAGACCCTATTTCTAAAACAACAACAACAAAGCTAAAAACGAAATCAGCCTTCATTACATGCTACCAAAGTGTTGGCTTTTATTTTAATGTCAAGGTGTAAGGTGGTATACAGGTGATTTAAAATAACATACATGATATTGACATATTTATACTTAGAATTTATGCAGTATATTTACAGACATACAAATATAGGACAGTGTTTTACAAAATTTTTTACTAATTACATACATGTTTACAACATTTTCAGAAATAAATCTGCTATCAACCATTACTGCAATGTATATATAAAAGAACTTCTAAATATCCACGTTTCCTTCATGTCTAAAACCATTTATGTGCTTAGGTTTTAAAAGTTCATGAGACTGACTCATTAGCATAGTCACACATCATTAGTCACTGCAGAGCTATAGAAAGTAAAAAAATCACAAAATCCTTGATTAGCAGTAAGGCTGTATTTAAAAAACCTATTAAGGGCAGTAACTTCCAACTAAGCATTTTCCTACTCTGTGTTCTAGCCAAATACAAAGGCCCCTCCTCCCATTGAGTTGTCTCCAGACCTGTTTATTTCAAGAGAAAATTGGTTTGGAGTGCTAAGAAGAGTTGAGCTTGAAAGCCTAGAAACTACTGACATAAAATCTCGGTAGGTGGCAGGGGCCCCACTCTCAGTCTGTTCATATTTTCAGTGCTGGGAAGGTTACTGCTTCTGGTCTGCAGGAACTGTTAATAAGGTCATCATCTTAACACTAGAGTCTAGGAAGGCTCAAGGTTAAACTGAATAGGTTCTTTCCAGCTTAAGAAAAAAAAAAGGGTACATACAAAATAGTGAATACAAAAATTCTCCAACAAATGCATGACTTGTTTTTGCATTTTGACACAGAAATTCAATATATTTGCTATTTTTCTTCATTATCAACCAAAATTATACCAAATTTTTTTTAACAATTCACATACAAATTTGAATTAGTTTGATAAAAATACATTAATAAGGTTTCATGTTAGGTGCAAAATTATAAAGTAAAAATACATTGTTAGGTGCAAAATTATAATTTTCCTATGGGAAAATTAGTGGCAAATGTTGCAAGTATTGCATTATGTAATGTTTCTTGAAATTATTCATTGCATAATTTGTTAAAAACAGTCCTGTCTTTTGCTGAGTTTCTATTTCTGATGGCATGTAATTGGAGATTGTACTGAGGTTTAATGGTGAAAGGAAAACCAGCTACAGTTTAAAAGTAGATAGCTTAATTCTGAACAGTTATATGATTGGTGGGTCTGTCTGGAATTGTAAATATAAGGGGTCTGCCTCTAAGCACTAATAAGATATTTAACTTTTGTTCTGTGAGACCCTTGAAGGACTGGGCTTTAACCTCAGACATTCTATGTTATATAATTTTAAACTGGGACAGAGTGGTAGTGTTCTGATAAACTTGTTTCTCTGCCAGAAGAAAGAAAACTTTACTTTGGCCAGAGACTCAATATGATTATATCCCAAACTACTTTTAGATGCTATATTTACATGATAAAAAGAGGGAAAACATGCTCCAAGGCACACACTGGTAATGAAAATCCAGAACAGTTAACAACTACAGAAAAAAACCTAGATAACTATTATCTTCACTTATTCTCTTTACTTGGTTTACAAAGGCAGTGATCACCAAGAGATAAATCACTGACAATTAAAAGGGGTTCAAATAGAAGGAAAGAAAAACCCAGGTGGTTTAGACTTGAATAAAAGCTCCTGATTGTGTGTGAGCGCTGGCCTTTTACTCCACCCTCAATTGAGTATGAAAGACAAAGCCAGATGGTGATCTTGATGTAGAAAGGAAGCTGTTTTTTGTTTGTTTGTTTGTTTTGGAGATAGAGTCTCACTTTGTTGCCCTCAGTAGAGTGCTATAAAATCATAGCTCAACAGCAACCTCAAACTCTTGGGCTCAAGCGATTCTTTGTCTCAGCCTTCCAGATAGCTGGGACCAAAGGCGCCTGTCACAATGTTCAGCTATTTTTTAGAGACGGGGTCTTGCACTTGCGCAGGCTGGTCTCGAACCTGTGAGCTCAGGCAATTCACCTGCCTCAGCCTCCCAGAGTGCTGGGAACACAGTCATGAGCCACCACGCCCAGCCTACAGGAAGCTATTTTTAAGATACCATTAGGGCTTTAATTGAGCCACAGAAACTGGCAGAAACCTGTAAGTACCGGAAACTTGGCTTTCCTTTATTCCCTTGTGCTTTCTTCTCATCTATTCTGTTAGCTGGGGAGCTAGAAGTACATCTGCTGTGCAGATGTGTTTGCAGGTCCAGGTGTCCAGGAGCAGCATGGCGGGTGGGCTGGTGAGGGTGGCTCAATGAAGTCAATGCAGATGTCACAGAGCAGGACCTGCTACCAGCTTAAGGATTTGGAACCTGTGTACAGAGTGCTTGTGAATAATACTTAGAATTCAGGACTGCCCAACCGGCAGCCCGTGGGCTACATACTGACTTTTTGAGGACTTCGTTGCTTATCTATGGTTATTGCCTATCACAAAAAGTTTGCACGGACCTTTTATTTTGCTCATCAGCTTTCATTTTTGTTTATATATAATATGTACTGTTTAGCCTAAGACAACTCTTTTTTCTTTTTCTTTTTTTTTTTTGAGACAGAGTCTCATTATGTGGCCCTCGGTAGATTGCCGTGGCATCATAGCTCACAGCAACCTCAAACTCTTGGGCTTAAGTGATTCTCTCGCCTCAGCCTCCCAAGTAGCTGGGACTACAGGTGTCTGTCACAATCTCCAGCTATTTTTTGGTTGTTGTTGTCACTGTTGTTCAGCAGGCCGGGGCTGGATTTGAACCTGCCAGCTCTGTTGCATGTGGCTGGTGTCCTAGCCGCTGAGCCCCAGAGGCAGAGAAGAAAAAAAGATTGAACATACCTTGTTTAGATAATAGCAGGATGATACACAAACAATCCTCTACAAAAAAAAAAAAAAAGATGACATGGTGGTGGACTAGAATTGGAAGGAAGTCTAGACCATTGGCCTTATTTGCTTTACTGTTTTACTCTACAAAATCTAGGCTTTTTCAATTTTTTTTTTTGTTTTGCCTTTGACAGAATAGTCCAAGTCATCATAATATAGCTTTCAATTTTAAATGTGGCTGAAAAATGCCACAAAACTTATAAATATCTATCTTGTAATAGTGGTCTCTACTACATGAAAAACACCTGAAATGTGCTGAAAATGCAGGTTCTTAGGCCACACTCCAGACCTACTGAAAGCAAAGTTTCTTGTGTTTTGTTCTTTTTTGGAGACAAGGTCTTGCTCTGTCACCCAGTAGTGTGATCATAGCTTACTGAAACCCTGAACTTTTTTTTTTTAAGACAGAGTCTCACTCTGTTGCCCTGGGTAGAGTACTCTGACATCACAGTAACCTCAAACTCTTGGGCTCAAGTGATCCTACAGGCTTAGCCTCCCAAGTAGCTGGTATTACTGGCACCTGCCACAATGCCTGACTAGTTTTTCTATTTTTAGTAGAGATGGCGTCTCGCTCTTGCTGACTCCACCTGTCTTGGCCTCCCAGAATGCCAGGATCATAGGCATGAGTCACTGGGCCCAGTGAACTTTGAACTCTTGAACTGGACTCAGGTGATCCTCTCCTCTTGGCATCTCAAACTGTTGAGATTATAGGAATGAGCACCACACCTGGCCCAAATATGTATTTTAACAAATGCTCCAGGAGACTCTAATGAACAAAAAAGTTTAGAAACCAGTGGACTGTAGATGTCTTGAGACCAGGGAGTGATAACAGCATACCTGTGCCCCCAAGAAAGCTCAATACTTTCCTGAGAAGAAATGCTTTTTTTTTTGAGACAGATTCTCAGTTTGTCGCCCTTGGTAGAGTGCCGTGGCATCACAGCTCACAGTAACCTCAAACTCTGAGGCTTAAGTGAGTCTCTTGCCTCAGCCTCCCAAGTAGCTAGGACTACAGGCACCTGCCACAATGCCCAGCTGTCTTTAGACACGAGGTCTCACTCTGGCTCAGGCTGGTCTTGAACCTATGAGCTCAGGCAATCTACCCGCCTTGGCCTCCCAAGGTGCTAGGATCATAGGTGTCAGCCACCACACCCGGCAAGATATGCTTTCTGATGTGAAATAAGCCAGCTCTCTAGGAAAGCCCAGCCAGTTTAGGCTTCATTTTTGGGTTCTCAGTAATGAGAGAAGTTTCACTGGAGAAAACCCACTACGTCTTCATAAAAAAAATTCAATGGAAATGGATATGACCTCCCCTAAAATGGAGAAATGAAAGAAGATATTCCTGTTAGGAATCATGGAAACAGTCCCTTCTAAGAACACATCAGAGCTCTGTTTAAGCAGACAGCTGGCAGCAGCAATCACGATGTCCTGTTCCTTGTTTTGGCTACGTCACTGCTCAAGGTCCTGGGAGTCCTTAAACAGCAGATAACTGGTGCTGCTGTTGCTTGGGTGGGGCAAGTTCTAGGAGAGCCTGGACCGTCACTGCAACCTGGCTCAAACCTTTCTCTTCTAAAATGTGGAGAGGCAAACATAATTGCTCCTAAAATGGGACAACGTAAAATAAAAACAAACAAAAGAGAAAATAGGGTGAACATCATAGAACTGAAAGGAAAAAATAAAGCACTTCTTTCCCCCTTCATAATAATCACCTAAGAAAAGTCAGTACCTGGGAAACTGACCTTTGTAAAATATGAGTTAGAGATAGTATCTGACACTCATTGTCACTTTATTAATACATAGCACAACTAAACAAAGACCATTTTGAAAACTGGAAATTTGACAAGTAGTGTCCATTTATATACATACAACAGAGGAAGAACAGAATGCTGTGGAATGAAAGCAACATCATGAATCCCTGATTCACATAAAAGATCAATGCAAATCTATGAAATGGGCAGATAAAAGATAAAAATAAACAGTTTCAAGTTACCAAATGGCTCAAGACTGAAAGATATAACATTTTAGGAGAAAGTACTTTGTAAATTCCATATCACAGGAATTCAAGGTGGTTTCATGATATAACTCAGACTGCATGAGAGGAAATGCATTATAATCTGCATTATAATCCTGATTCTGAAAACCAAGTTCACAGAGCAGGCAAAGATCACAAGAAGAAACTTAGTGTATCCTTAGCTCTTGAAGATTTAGATATATTTAAAAGTCTGACCCATAATTTGAATTCACAGAAATCCCAGTCTGAATTAGTTAAAAAAATCTGAATTAAAATGGAATTTTATTTGAAAAAGTAGTCTTTCATATCCTATTATTTAATGGATTGAATTATGCTGGAGAACCATTATGTGAGTTTAGTCAGGGACATCTTAATACTGATATGTGAATAAGTCTTTTTTCTTTCTTTCTTTTTTTGAAACAGAGTCTCGCTCAGTTGCCCTGGTGTTGAGCGCCATCACATTACAGCTCACAGCAACCTCAAAGTCTTGCAATCCTCTTGTCTCACACTCCCAAGTAGCTGGGACTACACGTGCCCACCACATCTGGCTATTTGTTATTTTTTTAGTAGAGATGGGGTCTCACTCTTGCTCAGTGTGGTCTTAAACTCCTGAGCTCAGACAATCCACCTGCCTCCACCTCCCAGAGTGCTAGGATTACTGGCATGTAAAGTCTTTATAGTTATTTGTTTAAGGAAGTTATGTTCCTCTATCTGATATGCCTCATTAATTTGTAGACAAATTGTTAAGAATGACACTTATCATTGGCTTTTCTGTTAAGACTATTCAGAAAGAAAAGAGATTGTTTTCACAAGCAGAAGAATTCTGGTTTCTGCTGGATGCAGTGGCTTATGCCTATAATCCCAGCACTCTGGGAGGCTGAGGCAGTTAGATTGCCTGAACTCAGGGGTTCAAGACCAGCCTGAGCCAGAGGGAGACCTGTCTCTAAAACATAGCTGGGTATTGTGGCAAGTGCCTGTAGTCCCAGCTACTTGGAAGGCTGAGGCAAGAGAATTGCTTGAGCCCAAGAGACTGAGGTTGTGAGCTATGATGCCATAGCACTCTACCAAGGGTGATCTGTCTGGGAAAAAAAAAGCTGTTCCACTAAAAAAAGATTATAATTCATTTTTATTAGAGAAGATACTGGATTCTTCTCTATTTTTCATTGGCATTCACTATATTATTAGGAAGTTTTATAAAAGTAGTTACAATAAGGCTCGGCGCCTGTGGCTCAAGCGGCTAAGGCGCCAGCCACATACACCTAAGGTGGTGGGTTCGAATCCCCAGCCCGGGCCCGCCAAACAACAATGATGGCTGCAACCAAAAAATGGCCAGGCGTTGTGGTGGGCGCCTGTGGTCCCAGCTACTTGGGAGGCGGAGGCAGGAGACTCGCTTGAGCCCAGGAGTTGGAGGTTGCTGTGATCGTGGTGATGCCATGGCACTCTACCCAGGGGGATAGCTTGAGGCTCCATCTCAAAAAAAAAAAAAAAAAAGTAGTTACAATAAAAAATATAACAAGTATTTATTTTTGAGGCAGTTATTGGTACTTCTGCTTCTCATTGTTTTTAGTAGTTCTTATTTTGATCACATCTAAGGAGCATATGGCAAGGGTACACGTCAAATCTGTTAAGTGTAGAATGTAGATGTTTTGGCACAATAATCAAGTAAATGAGGTGAAAGCTATGTTGATTGGTTTGATCTAACCATGTCAGATTGTATAAAAAAAAGATCAGCACATTGTACCCCACATATGCATGAATGTATTCATGCTCTATGTGTATTTGACTTAATAAAAAAATAATTCTTATTTTGATAAAGCAAGGTAATATTTTAAACTAATAAAAGTAGCAATGTTGAAGAAATCCTTTGAATATAACTGCAAGTATAGATTAACTATACTTAAGATGAATCTGTGTGGTGTTGTGTAGATTTGAAAGAGACATACAGTATTTCCTCCAAGGCCAGTTCCTGGTCTCTTCTCAGTAGTGCCCTGTCGACCTGTGAGACCAAGTGCTCTCGGAGACAGAGGCTTTCTAGTGGCACATTATCTTCTAACCAGTGGAGAGGGCATGTTGTGTGTTCTCAATAGAATGCGCAATTACTATGTGTAAACCACACATGAGACTATGTTTTTTAAAAGGAAAAAGATTCCACAGAACTTTGAGAATGATCACTGAGTCAGAGACATCTTCAAAATAAAACAAATCCAAACTCCGAAACTGTGGAAGGCACTACAACTATATAAAAGACAAGTTTTCATCATCACAGTGTTCAGTGTTTCTGCATCAACAGGCAATAGTCCTTTAATGTGTTAAATAACTGTCCCATTTAATATGGAAGAAAACCAAAACAATGAGACCCCTAGGCTGAATTCTACAACAGGATATTATGTCATTGCCATCTCCCCTCACACTTGAGTTCAGTTATCTAATTGTTAGCAGAGTTCAGTAGATTCCTAAATGTTCAGAAGCACCATTTATGAGAACTAGAATCTGACTGCAATTATGAAATAGTTTTTAAGCATTAATATCCAGCAGCTAAAATACTAAGCATTCTGAAAGAGACAGACACCATTCATAGTCTTTTTTTTTTTTTTGAGACAGAGTCTCACTTTGTTGCTCTGGGTAGAGTGTCATGGTGTCATAGCTTACAGCAATCTCAAACTCTTGGGCTCAACCTCAAACTCTTCCATCAACCTCCCCAGTAAGCTGGGACAACAGGAGCCCGCCACAATGCCCGGCTATTTCTTACTATTTCTGGTCTCACTCTTGCCCAGGCTGGTCTCAAACTTCTGAGCTCAAACAACTTCTGCCTCCCAGAGTGCTAGGATTGCAGCTGTGAGCCACTGTGCCTGGCCCTAATATTCACAGTCTTGAGTACAGCCCAGAGATTGCTGCCTAATACTTTACCTGCTAGTCTCCCGACAGCATATAAAATACAAATCTATCTATTAAGATGGTTTAAATATATTAAAAATTATATAAATTCCAATTTTACATAAAGTTCTAGAAGTGAATCTCAGTTAAGAATAACAAACAGTAAATCTGGACAGGTAGCTACCGTGAAAGGTCAGCTTGAAATCATTTGCTCACTGTATGCTACTTTAATTACACATTTAGGCTCAGATTAGCAGTCTAGGGAACCTACAGGATATTTAAACCGAACATTCTGACCAAATTAAAAATTATTGATAATAAATGGCCAGTACTTTCCAAATATCCAGACAACAAATGCTTAGATTGCTGTGCCTACCAATAAAAGAAGAATTTGGGATTTTAGGACCCAGCTCAATGCAGAGATCTAAGTGACCAGGTACCCTCCAAATTGGAAGAGGCATGACTATTTTCCTTATCGGCAGTTGAAGAACACTTTCAACAACTCACCATTTCAAAACCAATGTTGTGTTGAGGTGTGGAAGAAAGGCCAGGTGAGGGTTTTATGGTATCATTTGGAAATAAAGTTCTACATGTCATTTTCTAAGAACAAATTCAGAATTATATTAGTAAAAATGCTCCAAAATTTATAATGGTAAGAGAAACAAAGCTATAGGCCAGGAAAAATGGACGAATGACCAGGAGAAAAAAATGCTGGTCTTTTACTCTTTGTTAGGAAACATAAATGTTTACTAATGTGAATGGGCTATTTGTATGAATCTATTGGGAAAGGATTTATCTGCTTTATTGGTTAGCTCTTCAATGAGCAGGGCTGGAAAAAAGCACATATATAAATAATTCTGAGTAAGAAACAAACCTTTATCAAGCACAGGGATGAGGTGGAAAATCACTGTAATGCAGCCTTTCAGCTAGAAGGGAAGATCCAGTAATAAAGCATACGGAGAGATAACATTAAAGTACAATAAAATGCCACAAAACCCAGAAGTTGGATAGACAGAGAGATAAAACTGGATTCTTCTGCATGTGCCCCAAGAGAAAGTAGTGTTTCAACAGTTCTTTTAACGCTGAGGTTTAGCTGAAGGATGTCAGAAGGGGAACAAAGATTGTCCTGTCCAAAGTGTGAGCAGGAAAGGAAAACAGAAAAACAAAGTCAGTGGATCAGAATTGCAGATTTGCGTACAGAATTCAATATGATATCTTAGTCATTTGAAGATACACGTCCTATAATATTTTTACTATGAGAAATGAAAATAAAATGCTGAAAAACAACACTGTAAAAAATTTTCTATGTTCTGAGCTTCATTTAACTCATCAATAGCAGAATAAAATTTGCCTGTTGGTGCCTAATATGAACATTAAGGATATAATTAACAGAACTGGATTGGGTTAAGGCAGTGGTTCTCAACCTTCCTAATGCCGCGGCCCTTTAATACAGTTCCTGTGGTTTGCGACCCACAGGTTGAGAACCGCTGGTTTAAGGTTTTGTGAAGGCTGACAGTAGTGAAGTCAGTATGAGGAAACCTCTTTTTTGACTTTCATTCTTTCCTATTAACAAAAAAGGGACAGGCAAGGACAAAAATTGTAGCATACTGAGGGGAAAGAAGTTTTTAGAGGAAGCTGGGTAAATCAAGAAAGTTCAAAGCATGAGGAAGGCCTAATAATCAAGGGACATGTACTACCTAGAAATCAAATGTCCCAACTGATTTGGTGTTCCTCCAAAACACGGGTCAAGTCCATCTTAACCAAGTGCAGTTCATTAGTATGTTGTACCAAATGAACGTAGAGCTGCAAAGGGCCTTCAAGATCATCCAAACCCTCCATTTCACACATTAATAAATTAACTAAATGGAGACATTTAATTACAAAAGAAAATATTCCTTAACACATAACATACAATAACTGTGGGACATAAGATATTAGACTTTAATGTTTGTAATCACTCATTACAGTGTTTCAAATATAACATAACATGCTTTGATAAAAGCATAATAATAAAATGAATACCCACTCACCAAATCTCATTAGAGGCTTTCAGTAGTTGCCTTATTCTTTAGTATTTCATTCATACTTTAATTTGTAGAACACTTTATTTATTTATTTACTTTGAGACAGAGTCTTACTTTATCACCCTCAGTAGAGTGCTGTAGCATCATAGCTCACAGCAATCTCCAATTCCTGGGCTTAGGCGATTCTTTTGCCTCAGCCTTCCAAGTATCTGGGGCTACAGGCACCCACCACAATGCCCGGCTATTTTTTGTTGCAGTTTGGCTGGGGCCGGGTTCAAACCTGCCACCCTTGATATATGGGGCTGGTGCCCTACCTACTGAGCCACAGATGCCACCCAGAACACTTTATTTATTTATTTATTTTTTGAGACAGAGTCTCACTATGTCTAAGATAGTCTCACTATATCGATTTTGGTAGAGTGCCGTGACATCACAGCTCACAGTAGCCTCAAACTCTTGGGCTTAAACAATTGTCTTGCCTCC